GGCCGTAGGGCGGTTCTGGTTTTAACTTTCTGTGGACCCTCCGTACTGGTTTCCAGAGGGGCGGCCCCAGCTTGCATTCCCAGCAGTTCCTTTTTCTTCATACCCTCGCCAACACTTGTTGTCTTGGTTTTTGATGGTAACTATCCTAACAGGTCTGATGAGTGATACCTCACCGTGGTTCTGATGCGCATTTCCCTAGTGGTTAATGATGTTGGGCACCTTTTCATGTACCCGTTACCATTTGTAAATCTTCTTTGGAAAAATGTCTCTTTAGGTCCTTTGCTCAGTTTTTTTGAACATTTTATTCATTTATGAGAGAGCAAGTATGAGCAGGCGGAGGGGCAAAGAGAGAGGGAGAAGCAGGCTCCCTGCTGAGGATAGAGCCTGATGTGGGAGTTGATCCCAAGACTCTGAGATCATGACCTGAGCCTAAGGCAGACGCTTACCCGATTGAGCCCCCCAGGTGCCCCCTTTGCCCATTTTTAAATCACATTTTTGTTTTGCTTTTAAGTGTGAATAAATTTCTTATATGTTTTGGATATAACCCCTTACCAGATAAATATAGATACCATAAATATTTTCTCCTATTCCATAGGGCACCTTTTCATTTTGTCAGTGGCTTCCTTTGCTGTGTAAAAGCTTTTAGTTTGATGTGATCCCACTTGTTTGTTTTTGTTTCTGTTGCCTGTGCTTTTGGTACAGGTCCACAAAGTTGTTGCCAAGACCAGTGTTGAGGAGCTTTTCTCCCACATTTTCTTCTAGGAGTTCTACAGTTTTAGGTGTTATGTGCATCTTTAACCCATTTTGAGTTGATTTTTGTCTACTTCACAACAACGTGACATCTTATGTGATGTAAGATAAAGGTTCAGTTTCATTCTTTTGCATATGGCTGTCACGTTTTCCCAACACCACTCACTGAAGACACCTCGTCCCCATTAAATATTCTTGTTAGCCTTGTTGAAAATCAGTGGACTGTGTATGTGTGGGTTTATTTCTGGAGTCTGTTCACTGATTGTGTGTCTTTTTTAATTCTCATACCAACCTGTTTTGATTACTTAACTTTGTAGTGTAATTTGAAGTCCCCTTTGTCCTTCTTGAGATTGCTTTGGCTATTCAGGGTCTTTGTGGTTTCATACGAATTTTAGGATTGTTTGGTCTGTTTCTTTGAAAAATGCCAATGGAATTTTGGGTTGGATTGCATTGAGTCAGTGGATTGCTTTGGGAGTGTGGACATTCTAATGATAATGTTGCAGTCCATAAGTGCAGACTGTCTTTCCACTTACTTGTGTCTTACTCCGTTTCTTTCATCAACGTCTGTAGCTCTCAGGGTACAGGTCTTTCACTTCCTTGGTTGAGTTCATTCGTGGGTATTTTGTTCTTTCTGATGCAGTCGTGAATGGGTTTGTTTTCTTGATCTCTCTCTCAGGTTGTTGGTGTTCACATGCAGATGGGCGCGTGGTACCTGTCACTCACGTAGACTTCCCCACTTGTCTTCATTCTTGGTTCTTGTCAGTGCTCTAAGGGGCTGTAGTCATGTGACCCGTCTTTGCGTTTGCTGAGTCTTCCGTCCGCATGGCTGCTCCTGCTGTGGAAGTGCTGTGTTGAGTTCTCGGGTTTATCCTTGTGTTCTTCAACTCCAAGGTTTCTGTTTGGTTCTTTTCTGTGGCTTCTGTTTCGTTACTATACTTCTTACTTTGTTTCTGCATCATTTTCCTGATTGCATTTAGTTGTCTGTGTGTGTGTGCTCTTGGATTTCACCGAGTTTCTTTAAGGTGATTTTTTTGAATCCGTCTGTGTTTCATTGGCATCAGTTCCTAGAGCCTTGTTAGTTTCCATTGGTCGCGTCCTATGTGCCGAGTCTTGCAGCTGCATTTTGATGCTGTGCATTTGAAGGCGCAAACGGCTCTTCCTGTCTTTACAGACTGGTTTTGTCTGGCAAGGACATTCTCCTGTGGGTTTGGGCTGATGGCATTCCCTCTGCTTTCACAGTCATGATGGGTCAGAGCTGGGTCACGAGGCTGCTGCTGGGTCTGCAGTGGAGTTGGTGGGCTTGTTAGCAGGCTGTGGGTCTTGCCTGGTCCCTGGGCGCATCTCCGGGTGGGCAGAACTGCTTGTGGACTGTGGTGCAGCTGGGAGGAGCTGAAGCCAAGTCCCAGGTGCGCTTCAGGACCCTGAGGTTGGCTGGCCTGTCTCTAGGGGCACTGACTGCAGGCATTTTCCTTTGGGACCCTTGGCCAACAGACCTGCTCAGCGACCAGCCGGAAGGTGGCTGGAGCCCACTTCCAGGACCCACGTAGTACTTGAGTGTGACTGAGTATGCTAACTGGACTGCAGCCCCGCGGGACTGGAGCTGGGTCGTCGGCCATTGTGGGGTCCAAAGCCAGGACTGAGGTCTGTGCGCCTATGACCCGGGGCTTGGGTGGGCAAGGCTCCTTCTTGGCAGAGGATGCTGGGGACAGGACCAAGTCAAAGAAGGCTATAGCTGGGGCCTCTGGCAAGTCAGCTGCCTGAGTGCAGGGCCCGCTTTCTCCAACGGCTTTGCTTAGCCTTGGACTACATCTGGGTTTCAGTCTCCTCCCTGGATGCCACAGCTGCCATAGGGCATTTTTGTCTGAGGATGGATGCTGGATTGTTGCTGAGGGGAGCACGAGTGGGGACCTCCTCTTCTGCCATCTTGCAGCTGGCACTGCCCCTCCATTTCCACCTGTTTGCTGGTTGTTCTCTCTCTTGCCTAGAAGCGGATGACCTCATGTCTGTGTCTTAATTGTGAGGACTGGAGCTGTCAGAAGAGTACCTTACACCCTGACACCTGTCTGTGTCACATCCTCTGTGACCCCTTTGCTCGTACGTTCACAAGGGGCCCTGCCTCCGCTGCGTGAGGAGTCTTCCACATAGCTCTGTCCTCGCTTCCGTTACATGAGACCGCCTTCGGTGTCCTGTCTTCCCCCACCAGAACTCTCCAGCAGCATCGTCTGGATCCGCTGCCTCTGTGTGCCTGCCTCCCATGCGCCCTCAAGCCCCGTCCAGGTGGACTGTTGCCCCGGCCTCATCACCAGCACCGCCTTTCTCCAGGCCTTCAGTGACGGGGTGCTGCCAGGCTGAGAGGGGAACCCATGTCCTCCCTCATCTGGCCCTGCTGTGTCCTGTTTCCTGCTGACTCCATGTCCCGTCCCCCTGGCCTTGTCCTGCTGTGTTCGTGGCTCAAGTCCCATCCTTCACCTAGAATAGTCCCAGACACTAGTTTGTCCTTGATTGTTGTGCTGGCGTCCCAACTAGGCTCTTTGCTTCCCTCTTGTGCCTTCACTGTCCCGTCTTCAGCGCAGAGAAATTGCTCCAAGACGACGTCCGTTGGCTTCCTATCACATTTAGGTTAGAATTCTCATGTCCTCAGCCTCCCTCCCTGCCTCTGTGGCCTCATTCCTCATGTGTTCCCCTGTGCACATGGGGGAACTGCCTGCTAGGGGGTGCGCTCCCTCGGATCCCTGCCAGGCCTGCCGTCCCCTCCGCTGGGCTCTGGGGCGGGACCCCTCTGGCTGGCGTGACTGGAGCAGCTCCGCCCTGCTCTCCCCGCACCTGTGGTATTCTCCTCGGTGTCCGGTTGCCCCTGACTTGATGTCCAATGTTTATTTATTCAGTTGGGCATTGCCTCTCCCTCCAGGAGCAGAGTTTGACGGCTTTAGGCTGAGGAAACAGCGTTGCAGCAGTGCCTGGCGTGCGGGAGACAGTAGATGTCTGAAATCTGTGGTGGGATATGAGTTTAAGTGAGTGCCCAGGAGAGGCCTTTCTGGACAAAGGAATGACATTAGATTGTGTTTCAAGGGCCTTTTGTAATTTCCAGCCTCATCAAGTCCATTGGTTTTATTTTGTTGGTTGTGGGTTTTTTTGCTTTGTTTTATTTTTTGCTTTTGCTGTTTGTGGGTGGATTTTGGTAAAGCTCTGTGTGAAACAGGCACGAGCTCTCTGTTCTTACTGTTAATAAATGCCCTGCTTTCTCCGTACTTTTTGTTGGTCTTTGACTTTTAAAATTTAAGTGTTTGTTCTCAGAAAATTCCACGTATAGGATTATGCAGATCTACACAGAAGTGTATGAAAAACTTGTTAGTTCTTTGTATTTCCTTGCCTCTGCTATCCTGGCAACCTAAAAATAGGGTCCTCGCCTGCTATGCAGCGTCCGGGGGAGGGGAGCAGGGACTCACCCCAAACTCCAGTATGAAAACCTGCTGTCACAGTGTGTGGCTGCTGGCGGTGCCAGGGCCTTACCCTGAGCTCCAGCCCTCTGCTCCGTGACCAGTGCCTCATGGGAAACACACTTCAGTGTCCCCCACTGTACCATCTGGCATCTTGGGAGAAGTCTCCACTAGAAGCCGGTTCTGGCCCCTGCCTGCTCGTGAGGGCTGCGTACGTGGCCCCCTTCCGTCGGACCTCTGACACCCCCCCCCGGCACTTAGCACCTGGAGCTTTGATCGTGTGGACGTTAGAGCAAGTTCGTCGGACTCCGGTGTAGAGACTGCGTCGTCCTGATGGCCCGTGGGCTTAGGATCTCCAGCCTTTATCATTCTGGCCTGTGTTTATCTTTTTCCTTGCTTTTATTCTTTCCTTTATATTTTGTTATTGTTTAAGTATCTGTGTTCTTGTAGGCTACCTGGAAGTCCTTTTTGAATTGAGACAAGGTATTAAAGAAACTTAACACTTTTTTACGGGGCGGAGGAGCGGGGAAGAAGGACCTCCGCAGGAGCTGGGAAGAAGGACCTCCGCACTTTACTAATAAGTCTTACTCCTCAGATTAACTCTTATTTTGGTTTAGGGGAGAGGGGATTTTAAGTTTTTTTGCCTCTGATTTCCTTTTCTTAGTAGGTGAAGTAGCAGTTTTCTTACTGTCTGTGCACAGATGTGTAGATGAATTAATATGTATATTGGAAACAGGAGAATCACTGTGCTGAATCATCTGCTTGGTAAATTTTAAACCATTTTTTCCTGAGTTGATCATTTCTTTTATGTAGGAGGAAATGAGTCTCAGCCGGAAAGCCAGGAGGACCCCCGAGAAGTACTTAAAAAGACGTTGGAATTCTGCTTATCTAGGTAAGGATGCCAATGGCTGTTCTAGTGCCTGCTCACTCGGGTGTTGTGCACTGGCTGTAATGTACAGATGTGACTCAGTGCAGAAGGGGCAGGGAGCTGTTGATCTCTGCACAGGACGTGGGGAACATGGAGGAGTGAAAGCCTTTGACGGGGAGAACTGAACTGAATCAGCTAGGTCAGTGTTTCCCACGGTTCTCCCCAAATTCATTGTGATGATCTTGACCTGGGTTGCTTTTTGAAATTCAGAGTCCTGGACACGACCCCCCGCCCCCAGTCCCACGGAATCAGACTCTGAGGGTGGGACCTCCCAGAGACACTCTTGAGCAGTGAAGTCAGAACAGATTTCCTGTTCTAGTTCCCCCAGTATGCCAGGCTCTGCAGTGGCAAATCATTCTGTGTGTGCCGCTTGTACTTCCACTTGTGCCTTTGTCCTGAGTACCGCCTTTTCTGTTGACACGCGGAGTGGAACCTTTAAAGTTCCATGTGGCAGAAACATACATACAGGAAGATGGGACTGGGTTCAATGTAGTTTTCTTTGTGAGGATAACTGATGGGCCGTGTGTAAGGTTTTCTGTCCGCGATGGTGATATTTCAAGTGTTTCTCTGGGGCTGTCTTCGGACTTCACAGAGCCTCTGGGAAGGGCCGCTGTAGAGACTGTGGGCCTGTGTGGAGGGGAGAGGCGGGGTGGGTGCCCCAGCTTGCCTTCCTGGCCCACCCCTCCCCGGTTATGGCCCTGGCACACGGCCTCCGGGTACGCTCTGCAGGGGAGGGCCGCTGCTCCGAGGCCGCGAGGTGGAAGGGCGGCGTCTGCATCTCACACAGCTCCCTCTGTCCCTCCTGCGCTACCTGACCGGTGGGGATGGAGCAGCGTTGCCGTCTGCGGACCTTGGAGACTGTCCTCTGCCTTCCCTAGGACCAGTGTGTCTGCGTTGAGGTGTTCTGAGCACGTTGTCTTGTTAATGGAGGCGCAAACCCTTGAGCTGCCAGCGCCTGCAGCCTGCCTGCTGTGACCCCGAGGGCTGTGGGATTGGTCCTGGTCCTTCCCTGCTCCCGGCTGCTAGCGTTCCAGAGGGCTCGGCGGGCGCAGCAGGCACTTGGGCACCGGCCTTTCCTGGCCTGTTCTTTCAGCTGGATTTTCTTACCTAAAAAACTGTGTGTATTTTTAATAAGTTACTCAGACACTTTTTAGAACAAAGATAAGTTATAAATACATTTTTAATGGATTATCCACTCATTCGTTGTGATTGTAAAAGGCGCACTATACTTCTGCTCTCTCTGCCTCCCCAGATATCTTTAAAAATTTTCCCTAAGGTCCGAGAGAGGATGAGGCACAGTTGGGGTTGGAGCTCTCCTCTGGCTCTGAAGCCGTGCCACGCTCACCCCCCTTTGGAAGCGTCCCTTTAGAGAAGGAGGCATTAAAAGCTCTTGTCTTCTTTCCGCAGGGAGAACCTGGCTAGCGACATGTACCTCATATCGCAGATGGACAGTGATCAGTATGTGCCGATCACCACGGTCGCCAACCTGGACCATGTCAAGAAGCTGAGCACGGACATGAACTTGATTGTGGAGGTGCTGAGGTGTAAGTAAACGGCGGTCGGCGGGGGTGAGAGTGTGCTCTCGCCCGGTACTCGATGGCGAGTGGGGTCTTCCTTTGGCTTCCTGGCCGCTCCGACCAGTGCCCTGTCTGGCGGGGGCCGTTGATGGGCTCAGAAACGCATCTCACTGGGAGTGCGCCCGAGAAAGGCTGCTGCAGAGGCGGAGGGCCGTTGGGGCTGGTGACAGATGTGGGGAAGGACGGCGCTGGAGGCCAGTTCCATTAGCATACTAGCAACAAGAAGGGCTTTAAATTTCAAATTCCGGCTCAAGTTTGGGTGAAGTGGGACTGTTTTCTTTAAAAGGTTATTGTGAGTGAAGTTGTTTCTTGGACCTCTGACAACATCAGAGCAAGGTTTAATACCTCAGAGACCGGCAGGGGTTCCGGGACTGTGGGCTTCTAAGCTGTGGTTTGCTGGTGCAGGCGTCTACAGCCCAGCCACTTGGTAGTGTGTTTCCAAAGACACCATCTGCCTGAGGTCACAGCCGACGTCCAGGGCGCTGTGGCGTGCGTGCGTGTGCCGCTTGGCTGGGTCAGCGTGGGCCTTGGCGTACGACTGTGAGACCACCACCGCCTGGAGTTTTTGGAGGGCCTCTGTACTGCCTCCACCCCTCCCTGCCGCCTGGGATAGCTTCTCTGGGGATGAGTTTTAAATTCAGTGTACAGTATATTGGATATCTTTTCAAATGGGATTGTTTTTAATTATAGAAAGTCACTTTCTATAATAGGACTGCAAGTACCAGATGATTTATTTCTGTAGTCTCCCTTCTCAGGGCTGCTCTGACTCCTTCACAAAGAACACAGTGTACAGTATGTTCCCTTGCCCCAAATATTTCTAAATGAGGGGACATCCGTCAAGCCAGAACTGAAACCCCATTTCCCTGTGTCACCGCTGTGACTCTCCATCACTGAGGAAGCAGTGATCCCACACTCCCCAGCAGCATGACTGGCAGGTAGTGATGACTTTTTCTTGTGTGCATTCAACCTCATAGAGGAATAGGTGAACGTGAACATCTCATCTTAAAACTTGGTTGGATTTCTATTCGCAAATGAAAGTTCTCTGCTTCCTGTTCCCAGACAGATTTTGTAAGGTCACTCAATTATTTGAGCAGATAGTGAAGAAACGAGCAAGCATCATCTATGAAGTTTGAATTCTGAAGATTATAACCGCTGTTTCCCAAGATTGTTTATGCTTTCCAGTGTGGCTTTGTTTTTGACGTTCCATTCAGAACTGAAGTCTGTTTGGTGGGTCGGGTTGAGTTTGGTCCTCTCTGGCGCACTTAAATGAAGGCCAGTGGCTTTCCTAACCTAAAAACACTTTAGTCAGTTCACGGCCTTTGGTCATTATCAGGAGTCCCAGGTGTAGTTATGTCTTCTAGGCCTTCCTTGGGAACTTGGCTGCCCCATGGTGATTCCTGGTTGGCGCTGGCAGGAGTCGTTCCTGCAGAGCGTGAGGCCGTTGGGTTGCCCTGTGCGGTTGCTGCAGGGAGGCTGTTTCTCTCTGTGGACCCATAGCCCCGCCGCCCTCTCCGCCCTTCTTCTGCCTTCCCTGCTGGGGGGGAGGGTCTGGAGTTGCAGGGGTACCTCCTCGCCTCCTCCTCAGCTCTGAAGTGTCTCATTGCCTCCGTTCACTTGGCTTCAGACAGAGACATGTGCCAGCACGACGGCATGATGGATCGTGGAGTTAGCGTAGCGGTTGTAGTTCTGCGGACGGTGAGAGAAATGAGCCTCTGTGAGCAGAGATCTCCTGTTTAAATCTTACCCCGTCCCCAGAATGCCTCACATGTAGCATTAGACACACAGTAGACACTTGATAACATTTTAATTTGAATATTCCCCAGTACAACACCAAAACTCTGGTGTTGGTTGAACTGCAGAAATTATGTTTTTGTGTCATAATACACGTGCTACGCAGTGCATGGCACAGAATGCCTGATTCAAATGCTTTGCTTTTATACTTAATACAGTTGAAATTGCTAATTTAAAAATAGACTCAGGTGTTTGTCGGCAGAGCATGAGTAGATGCGTTGTGACGCAGCCGCACCGTGAGCGCTGCAACAATTACAATGAACTAGGCTGCGTTTTCAGCAGGAATCCATCGTAGTGCTGACCACAAAGCCCGTTTCACACACCCGCGGGACGGTAATGTCGGCAGTGCGCAGGTACGAGTCCCGCAGATCCGAGTCGGCCTCTCATGGGTTCAGAGGTCCAGGGGTGAGAGTGTGAAGACCCGAGTGGGACTGACCTTCCTGGTTCAAGGTGAACCTTAAGGCGGGGGGTGGGGGGCACACGAACCGGGGACAAAACGGGGACATGAGAAGCACAGGGAACTTCGCCAGTCCCTGCTTCTTTTGTTTTTACAGCTTTCCTGAGGCAGAGTTTACACACCTTAAATTACTGCCTGTACATCTGTCAGGTCACGACATCTTTATGCACCTGCAGAGCTACCGTAATGGCGACGACGACCATACTGTCCACCCGGGAGTTTCCTCCTGCTTCAGGCCGCCCCCCGTCTGCTTTTTGTCACTGTGCCTTAGTTTGTGCTTTCTGAAGCTTCATGCAAATGCAGTCGGTCATGTAGTAGCCTTTGGGGTGGGGGTCCGGCCTCCTGGCTCAGCACGATTGCTGGAGAGCGCACCCATAGCTTTTGGCCTTTCATTGCCGAGTCCTGCTCCACGTGGTAGATGGGCCGCACTCGGTTATTCACCCCTGTTGGTAGACTCGCTCTCGCCAGGTTTGGACCAGTGCAGATCAGGTGCCTGGAGCACTGGTGTGCAAGTCCGGTGGTGCGCGGGGCTTCTGCTTCTCTCTCCCAGTAGCTGGGACAGGACAGAGGGCGTATTCTGACTTGTGAAACTGCCTGTGGTGATGTGGCCCGTTGCCCCACACCCTTGCTGTCCCCACTGTGTGCGTGCGGGCGGGCGTCTTACTTGCAGATTCTCTGACTTTATCTCATTGCTCTTTCAGTTTCTGTTTCCCTAATGGCTGGTGACACGGAGGGGTCTTTTCACGTGCCTCTTTGCTCTCCTTTTATCTTTGTTGAAGTGTCTGTTCTTGTGCCCCCACCCCCACCTTTTTATTAGTTTTCTTACAATTGAGGTTTGTGGGAGGGTGTGTCCTGTGAGATGTGTATCATCATTATCTGTGTCGGGATATAAGCTGTTACCAGGTATGTGATTTGCAAATACATTCTCCTAGTCTCTAGCTTCTCTTTTTTATTCTGCCAATAATAGTGTCTTTTGAACAACACTCTTTTGAATTTTTGGTATAGTCCAATTTATTAATTTTTTTCTTTCATGATCTAGCTTTTGGTGGCATAGCTATTAAGAAATCTGTGGTTACCAAAGCCATGGAGGTTTTCTCCCAGAAGTTTTATAGTTTTAGGGTTTACATGTTTAGGTCTGTGGTCCATTTTAAGCTAATACTAGTATGTGGTTTGAGGTATGGATCTAAGTTCTCTGCCCCCCTCACATGTGGATATGCAGCTGTTCCAGCCCCGTTAGCTGGACGGGATCTCCTTCTCCCCTAAGTTGGGTGGCGTCGTTGTCAGGACCATCCGCCCCCCACTGCAGATTTATCTCTGGGCCTGTGTCCTTGATCTGCTTCTCTGTTTTGACACCTGCCCTGCAGTGTTTTTTTTTTTTTTTTTTTAAGGTTTCTTGTTGTTAATTTTTTATTTATTTATTTGTCAGAGAGAGAGAGAGAGAGAGAGAGAGAGAGGGAGAGAGAGAGCGCACGCACAAGCAGGCAGAGGTGGAGAGAGAAGCAGGCTTCCTGCTGAGCAAGGAGCCCGATGCGGGACTTGATCCCAGGACCCTGGGAACATGACCTGAGCTGAAGGCAGCTGCTTATCTGACTGAGCCACCCTTAAAAACATTTTTATTGGGATTGCATCAAATGTACAAATCAATTTGGGGAGAATTGACACATAATGATAGGTTTACATTCCATGAACACAGTAACTCTCCATTTATTTACATCTTTTATAATTTGTTCTTGGTAATGTTCTGCAGTTTTCAATGTACAAGTAGTCCGTATCTTAACAGATTTTATAATTATTTTCCTGTTTTTGACACAGTTTTAAATGTGTTTATTTCAGTTTTCCATCAGTGCTAGGATGTAGAAATAGAATTCATTTTTGTATTTTTTGTAACAAAGTTTGATGAAAACTTTGTTAAAACTCCTCAATTCTAGTTTTTTGGGAAATTTTTTCAGATTTTCTTCGTAGAGATAAGCTTGTTGCCTGTGAATGGAAAGTTTCCGCTCTTCGTACCCAGTCTGGGTGCGTCCAGTTTCTGTCGCTCGCGTTATTGCCCTGGTTGAGCCTCTGGGACAGCGCCGACCAGGAGCGGAGAGAGTGGCTGTTGTTGCTTTGTCCTGTCTTCAGTAAGTGTGCTGCTAGACGCTGGCTTTCCCTACGTGAGGAGGTTTCTCTCATTCCTAATTTGCTGAAAATTTCTTTTCAGAATGTTGGGTTTTGCCACATACTTTGCATCTGTGAGGTGATTAAATGGTTTTTTTTTTTTTTTTTTGATTTTTTAGTCCATTAATGTGAATTCTGTTGCTTAATTTTTTTTTAAAGATTTTATTTGTTTATTTGACAGACAGAGATCACATGCAGGCAGAGACAGAGAGAGGAGGAAGCAGGTTCCCCACGGAGCAGAGAGCCCAATGCGGGGCTTGATCCCAGGACCCTGGGATCATGACCCGAGCCGAAGGCAGAGGCTTTAACCCACTGAGCCACCCAGGCACCCCTGTTGCTTAATTTTTGATTGGTAAACCAACCTTTCATTACTGAGCTAAACCCCACTTGTCATGGTTTATTATTTTTATATATTGTGGGGTTTGATTTGGCAGAATTTGGTGAGAATTTTTCATCTGTGTTCGCAGGGGATATTGGTCTCTAGTTTTCTTGCTTTGTGTTGTCTTTGTTCCGTCTGGGTATCGGAGAGCGGCTGGCTTCGCAGGTGGAGCTGGCGTGTTTCCTCTTTCAGGTATTTAGGAAGAGGTTGTGCTGTAGAACGGGTTTATTTTTTTCTCAAGTGTCTGATAGGATTCTCCGGGGATACCACGGGGGCCTTGAGTTTCTCTCTCTCATAGATCTGGGTCTGTGTTGGTGACTGTCTTCTTAGAGCAAACGTTGATGGTGTGTATCTTTAAGGATGTTTCTGTTTCGTGTAAGTTATCTAACTTACGTTTATTGGCAGGAACTTTTTCATAATGTTCCCTTAGGGTACTTTCAATATCAGTAGAACTTGTAGTGAAGTTAGTCTTCGTTCCTCATGTTGGCAGCATGTCTTCGTTGGGGGGTGGACAGCTCTGAGCCCTGACTGTGTCGTGCTGCGTTGTGACTGGAATCTGCACGTGGTACAGTTTCGTAGACGTGACACCAAAACAGAACATCACGAAAAGGAGTGTATGTAAAAACTTGTGAGGTCTGAATCCGGCTTGTCCCTGTGCTGGCACTGTTGCCCCAGCACCACACCCTCCTTGTGTTGACCGTGGGCTGCGGTTATGGAGGACGTCACTGCTGGGAAAAGCTGTGTAGGACCCCGTGGCACCTTGTGATTCAAAATAAAGAGTCGTGATGGTCAGAAAATTATTTTACGCTGGGGGCTCATAAAAAAGAGGAAGCCAATAACTCTGAGTTGTGATCTACATGTCGTTTGCACTGTTGAATCCTTGTTTCATGGTGTTAAATTTATTCTAGATCTTAAAGGACTTTTTAAATTCCTGTGCTCCTTAGTTTTGAGAAATTTAACCTGTGAGATGGGTGTAAAACCTTCTGATGGGTTGTGTTAAGGTGTCCCACTGCATACAGGTGTCTTCATTGTGTTTAGTGAGTAAGATACAGCACATCACACTGGAGTGTCTGTTATGTCATAAGTAGAATACAGACAATTTGTTTGAATATTTGTGTTTTACCATTCATTTTTCTTCTCTTTGTAGCTTTACCGTTAGTCCAAGTGGATGAGAAGGGAGAAAAAGTAAGGCCAAATCAGAGTCGTTGCATTGTGATCCTGCGGGAAATACCGGAGTCCACGCCTGTAGAAGTAAGTCTCCTCTGAAGGGTGCTCGGACTTTCTTTGTGGGTTTTTGTTTTATTTCTGTTTACTTCTGTGGTTTTTTTTTTAGAGGGCATATTGTAAAGAATACGCACAGTAACACTTTCTTCCCAGGATTTATACATTGTTGGTTACAGTGTGACTCATTTTTAAGAGTGGTGCTCAAACTTTTTGGTCTTGGAGCTCCATTATATTCTTCACGTTAAAAAATACTGAAGAGGGTGGGATGCCTGGATGGCTTGGTTGGTTAAGCGATCCCCAGGGTCCTGGGATTGAGCCCTGTGTGGGGCTCCCTACTCAGCGGGGAGCCTGCTTCTCCCTGCTACCCACCTTTGTGCTCTCTCCTCTCACTCTATCACTCTATCTCAAATTAAAAAAAAAAAAAAAGGGACGCCTGGGTGGCTCAGTTGGTTAAGCAGCTGCCTTCGGCTCGGGTCATGATCCCGGCGACCTGGGATCGAGTCCCACATCGGGCTCCTTGCTCGACAGGGAACCTGCTTCTCCCTCTGCCTCTGCCTGCCATTCTGTCTGCCTGTGCTCGCTCTCTCCCTCTCTCTCTCTGACAAATAAATTAAAAAAAAAAAAAAGTGCCAACTTGGGCAATAATTTGAGGGAACCGCAGTATTTGATAGTGTCAGAGTCATGAAAAGTCTTCCACGGTTACTGCGTTGCTATAAAACTCCTCACTTGTCTGAAAGCGTAGACTGCAGTGCCTCTTGCAGCGACGAGCATTTCTGTCTATTTCTGCCCCAGAAATGATGAGGAGCCTTCATGTGAGGCTCCGACAGTGCCAGCTCTGGCCTGTTGACAGCACGGCCGCTGTCTGCTGCGGGGACTGTCCGCGACCCCGGGAGGTCCGTTCCGTCCGTCACAGGTGTTCCTGGGTCAGGCCTGAGGGACTCGTGCCGCCCGCGTGCTCAGCGCCGTCTCTGTGGAGCCGGTCTGCGTGTGTGTGTCTGAGGGACACGTCTCGGCGCGCTGTGATGGAGGTGCGCTTTGACAACCCTGGCCTAAGAAGTCTCGCCCGTCTCGAGTGCGGCCCTGTTCCAGCGAGTTTTACTTTTTGTTCAGCTAACCCCGTTTTCTAGTTCTGTGTTCTCTGTGAAGAAAAAGAAATTGGGAATGAATTTTTTATCCTCTTCTTTTTAAGGTTGTAAATATGGAGTGTCCCCTTACTTCTTTCTACCAGTCCAGAGTCTTTGTTAGCGCCCAGTGATCCCGCACACGGAGGTCCTCTGAGACACTTGTAAGGGCTAAAGCGGAGAAGAATTTTCTCTTTTGAGCCGCACACGTTGATCTTGGTGTATTTGTGTTACTCCAAACAGCACACCCTAGATCTGTTGTAAAATTGAGCCATGGAAGTGTTTTAGATTTTTGGTAAACTGAGGTTGAAACAGAAGGGAAGGGGGAGAGTGGGGCTGGCTGCAGGGGCGGTCGCGAGCGTACGGGGCGCAGAGTGCGGAGCCCTCAGCCCCGGCTGCGGAGTGCGCTTCCCGGTGCCGCGCAGCCCCGTGCCGGTCCGTGGTTGGAAAAGTCTTTAAATGGTAGTTCATTTGGTTGAGTAATAGACTTTCACAAAGTGGCCCTGATTCCCCGGGAATACTTTGCTCTGGAACCAACCGTGGTGTCCACGGTGCCGCCCCTGTGCTGTCCTGTCCCTGTGGGTGCGGCCCCGGTGTCTGCGCCTTTAGCGCTTTGGCTGTCGGCGGCCAGAGCGGGCGGCCCGTGGGCTGCCTGGACGGGCGTCCTGCTCTCCTGGGCCGCTCGGAGGTTCGCGGCCTTCTCGGCGGGGACTTGGGACCGTTCTGTGTGAGCCCTCAGTGACGGGACCGGGTTTGGATTCACACCTGCTGCTCCGTCTCTCCGTGCTGGTCCTCATTTCTTTTCTTCCTGCGCCTCCCGTTCGGCTTGGGTCACATTCGTTCTCTCTGTCTCCCTTTCTTGGCTTCTTGCTCTAACTCTTTCGTTTTCCCAGCCGGCACGTCGGTGGGTGCGTCCGGGATCGGTGGGGCTGTCCTCCGTGGACCGGCGGCTGCCCCTTCCCGGGCGTCTCCGCTCCCATGCCCAGCTGGTACGCGCTGCCGCCCGAACCACACTGTATTTTGTTACGTTTGCGTCAAACAAGCTCGTTTTCTTTCTGAGAGATTGAAAGTAAGAAAGATGTGTTTATCCAGCATTTGCCATTTATGGTGCTTTTTATGCGCACGTCCAGGTCCGCACTTGCTCTGGCCTCCTTTCTGCCCCTGTCATCCTTCGGTTCTTGGGCTGTGGCTCTCCTGGCAGGGAGGGTTTTCAGCTTTTGTGTGTTTGAGAAATTCTTTTCTTTTCTTTTTTATTCATTCTTTTTAAGAAAATCTGTATTTTGCCTTCATTTACGGAAGCCCTTTTCTCTGGGCGTAGAACTCGGGATTCTAGGTGTGTGTTCCTTTCCGGTGTCCGCAGCTGCTGTCCTGCGCTCTGGTGCGCGGCATTCCTCCTTGGCTCCTCTGCGTGTTAGCGCTGCTCCCTTTCTCCCAGTGCCGTGAGGTGTTAAGCTGTTTGGTGGTGATGTCCCTTGGTGCCGCTCGCACGTCTCTTGAACGGAAGTTTCCTGAGGGGTCATTTCTTCACTTTTTCTCTTCTCCTGTCTTTTTTTGTCAAAGTTCCTAACTAACTGCTAATCCTACAGACGGCATTTTTCATTCCAGAAGTTCTTTTTGGATCTTTCTTTCTTCTTCGGTGTCTCTTTTTAACATGCTCAGTCTTCACCTTTTTGAATATAGAATATATATCCCAGAACTGCTTTCGTATTCTTGCCCTTTTATTCTGTCGTCTGTATCATTTCTGGGTCTAATGTGATGGGTTTTTTTTTCTCCTTCAGGTCCCATTTTTCTGTTTCTTTGTGTGCCCAGTAGATTTTGAATGGATTCCAGGCATTTTGGATTTTACTTTATTGGGTACTAAGTGTTCGTGTATTGTTTCCTGGAACTGGTGTGGAGCTTCGTGTGAGGTTCCCTTCGACCCTCCAGGAGTGCTGTGAAGCGGAAGTAGGGCCCGTGACTCCAGAGCGGTGCCCTTCTGCGCGCTGCGCCCGAGCACCTGTGTGCTGGGGGTGTTCTCTGCACTGCCTGGTGGGGGAGACTCACCCCCCGTCCCTGGGCGTCGTTTCTACTTGGTAAGGACACATGTGGCATAGATGAGAATTAATTTCTCCCTCTCTCTTTCCTGTAGGAAGTAGAAGCACTATTTAAAGGAGACAATTTACCGAAATTTATAAACTGTGAATTTGCCTATAACGATAATTGGTTTATTACGTTTGAGACTGAAGCTGATGCACAGCAGGTAAGCCATCCCCCCCGCCCCCGTGGAGCTCAGTGTTACCCTGACCTCACAAGCCAGACGTGGGGGGCACTCAGTTGGGGCCTGGAGATTACTGCTGTGTGGTGGCCCTAAGTTTGACTATAAAGCACAGGGGAATCAAGTTATAGAGACTGAGTAGGCATGTTTGTGAAGACCATTCGTGTGGCAGTAGAGCATGTGACATTATTTCCCAAGGACATGTACGACAAGTAGCCCGTGAACATGACTTCTGTTCTTTCATCTGGGTGAGAGAAAGTTTTAATATTCGATAAATGTTCTGGGAAATTTGAACGTCATTTTAAGTTTCATGAGGCATCATTGTGCGTGTCAGAGAGTTGCAGAGGCCCTGGGGATGCTCTGTGAGGAGAGGGAAGGAGGGAAGACGCTCTCCCTGGCCTGAAAGAGGAATCTTAATTGGGGGAAACATTAGCATGCTTCAAGGAGTGCCAGTACAGTTGATCCCTGAGCGACAGGGGAGTTAGGGATGCTGACTCCATGCAGGGGGGACGCACATTGAACTCTGGACGCCTCACGTCTGAACCGCTCGTACTCCACTGCCAGCCCCCCCCCGCGGCCTTACTGATAGCAGTGACATTTGGCACGTGTTTTGTGTGTTATTTGTGTTGTGTACTGTGTTCTCGCAATAAAGTAAGCTAGAGGAGAGAGGAGACTGTGAAGAAAATCACGGGGAGGAGAAAGTCCGTTCATAGTCCTGTCCTGTGTGTGTCCGCCGAAGCCTGCCTTTAAGCGGACCCTCGCAGTTCCGACTCCGGTTGTTCGGGGGGAGCTGTGCGGTGGGAAGCGATGTGGGTGCTGCGATGGTCAGAAGAAACAGGCCTCTGAAGGACGGGCTTGACTGGGTTGGAGGGAAGGGGCATAAGAGGGGCCGGGCGGTGGGAGATGAGGGGAGTCCCGTTGGCGGAGCAGGCGCAAGGCCCCTCAGCAGCGCGGGGCGGGGGGCGGCCCGGGGCAGCACAGGCGGCGCAGAGCCTTCCCAGCTAAGGAGGGCGCTTAGGGGAGGCGTAGGAGCTGCATCGGTACCGCCATCAGAGTGTCTCCCTTTCTCCGACTGTGAATCTGCTTTCACATCAGGGTAACTGCTAGGGGCTCAGCATCCTGAGCCTGTGGTCGTGGGAGGCTTTGGTGGTGTGTGTTAGCACTGCTAGAATCGTACGTCATTCAGGAGAGTTTTTGTGAGAGGCTCCCTAGGTCTTAGAGGTTCTTCGAAGGAGTCTGTAACCCGAAGTGGATTAAGAATCAGTGTTTTGGGTCTTGTCTGTCATACCTTCACTGTACCGTTCCCGGTTCGAGGCGTTGGGCTGTCAGTTCATCTGACTTACGAGATTAACATGGTGGCGTTTTGGGTGATTTTTGCCCTCAGGCTTACAAGTATCTGCGAGAAGAAGTCAAAACTTTTCAAGGAAAACCAATTAAGGTAAGCGGGACCTTGGTTATACTTTGTTTGCTTGCAGACCAGTTCTCGGGCACGCTGACAGAAATCTCTCTGTTCCCACATAGGCACGGATAAAAGCAAAGGCAATAGCTATAAACACATTTTTGCCAAAGAATGGATTTAGACCTCTGGACATGAGCCTTTACGCGCAGCAGCGCTACACAGCCTCCTTTTACTTGCCTCCGGTCTACAGCCCCCAGCAGCAGTTCCCCCTGTACAGCCTGATCGCCCCCCAGACGTGGTCGGCGACACACAGCTATCTCGACCCCCCCCTGGTGAGTCCTGTCGTTACTTGGAGCTCGCGCGGCAGGAGGCTGTGGACGCTGCACTGGGTGCTCGGGAGGGATGTCGTTCTGGTAGCGAACCAGGGACGTAGATGGTTGGCCAGCATGAAACAGACCTGAGTTCTTCGGCGGATTTGAACTTAATCGGGAGGTCAGTATGCAGCTTCGTACCCGTAAAAAAGCGTTCGGAGGCTCTAATACTGATCTCGGCCCAGTCCCCCTGCCCTCCTGTGTGGCGGCACCTTCCTACGCTGTGTAATCCCCAGGAAAACACACAGCGTGGTCCGGGTTCTGGGAGGCCTGGGTTGCTCCTGAGCGCAGGGCGGGTTGCAGGGAGAAGTGCTTTTGAGGAGACAGAGGTAGGCATTCCGGTAATTCTAGCAGCCAAGGACAAGTGGAAGACCTGCGAGCTTTTTCCCTCACACCAGCCCTGGAGTTGACCGGCCTGTGAAGTGGGGCCAGTCGCTTTCCTCCAGGGGTGCTGCTGGCGAGAGTGGAGAGGTCAGAGAGGTCAGGTGGACCCTGCCTCGGCGCTGCTGCGCGCTTGGTGGAGTGTGGGGTGTGAGAAGCAGGACTTGTCTGCTCAGTCCCGGCCGTTGGCCTCCCGTCCGAGACAGTGTGGATGGACGGACAGATGGACAGGTGTGCCTGGGGCTGCAGGGCGGCTTTATTGGGCACCAGAGCGGGGCAGTGGAGTGTGCGGAAGGTCGTGGTCGGAAAGTAGGAGGCCAGTTGATGACTGAGGATGCGGCTGTGGCCTGAGTCAGGGCCCGTCGTGCGGCGCTCAGGTCAGGTGTGGGGCATGGGAGGCGCCTGCGAGCCAGGCCTGGCCGCGGCTCCCCTTACCACTCGCAGTGGGTGGAGGGCGTTGGCTGAAGGGAGAGCTGGAGAGGAGCGAGTCGCCTAGCGGGCATGGTGCCTGTTCCCTGCTGACTCGTGAAGACGTGTTCGTGAAGGGATGCGGCCTGGGGAGGACAGCGGTGCCCGTCAGACACGCGGTCATTGGCAAAGCGGGACTGAATACGGTGAAACCTCAAATTTGGAGGTTGCCAGGTGTCCCGTCCTCTTCCGCGGAGCTTACAGCAGGGTGCGAGGGAGGCGAGGCTACAGGAGAGGGTGCGGCGCGTGCCGAGGCGCTGGCAGCCGTGGCACCCTGGGGGGTCTCTGAACTGACCCAGAGGTGCAGGTGGGGAACTGGGAGACAAAGCTCTTCGGCTTTGTACTGTGCCCCGAGGCATGTGCTTTTGGCCCGTGGCTTACGGGATGCGAGGAGGGCAGACGGGGAAGGGTCAGGAGGGGTCCTGTCTGGCGCTGGCAGACCCGGAGGTCTAGAACCCCGCAGTGGCGGAGGCGGTTAGCAGACAGGTGCTGGCGGGAAGAGCCGCTTCTCTCTCTTCAGAGGGACTCCTCATAATGCGCCCCTTTTCTGAAATCTTTGTTGCTTTCTGTAAAAGTGTGCCGAGAGCCTTGTAGCTGATACATGATGAGGGAACCTTCCAGGGAGATGAAGTCCTCAAATTCCTTTGTGGGAGAATTTCTCCCAAGGAGGCTAGCCGCCGTGGTTGTGCAGTTTAGTTCCTCTTAAGTCTCTCCTCTGATTTCTCTAATTGCACCCATATCGGGCTGGAGTAGGGGCTCTGGGCACCTGGGGTCAGTTGTCTGCCCACTTAGGAGGGTTCCTGTGATCCTGGCTTGGGGGTGGGCGCCTGCGGCCTTGTGCTTGCTCGAAAGCGTGCTGTGTTATTTTGAGCAGATGTGAACATACGGTGCCTGTGAATTCTCTGCGAGTCCTATTAAATTACTGGGTCAGGAGCTAATTTATTTTTTAAACTCTTGAGCTCAGTCACGCAGATAGCAGAGTTGTGTATGTGAAAGTACATCCAGGAAGTGATTTGTTACGAGTGACCTTAGCGTAGTTTATAATCTCAGAATCGGGTTCTGGTGTGATTGATCCGTTTTTAAATCGTCTCACTCTGGCGGCTGTTCTCAAGCACGCTGTTGAGGTGGCTTACAAAGTTCCAGGTGTACCTTTCTGACCCAGAGTTTCCCCCGCTGCTTTTCCTTTTTCCTTTTCTTTTTAAAATCAACTTTGGGTCTTCCGCTGTCCTGAACATCCGGTTTCTGTCCCGCCTGCTCTTGGCTCTGGCTTCCGAGTAGGTGCCAGTGGCCTCCTCAGCAGGCTGCTGGGAGCTCACCCGATCGGCCCGGAGAAAGGTCTTGCCCCGGCCTGGCTCAGGAAATACTGGACGTTGGCAGTGATCTAACACCATGTTCTTTTCAGCCTGGGAATATTTTCGGTATAAAATTGAATAAAATGTCGAGAAACAGCCCAGATAAGCGGAAGGTCTCTGTGGTGTTCGCCAATTCCAGGTCTGTTTATGGCTTGTTGACTTGTTTGTTTTTAATGAATCTAGGTGACCCCGTTTCCAAATACTGGATTTATAAATGGGTTTACGTCTCCAACCTTCAAACCTGCAGCATCTCCTCTGACTTCCCTCAGACAGTACCCTCCACGAAGCAGGCAAGTTGCATGAGTGGTCGAAGGGCTGTGGTGTCCGGGGTTGGTGGTGGCGGGTCACTGCTGTGTGGTGTGCTCGAGGGCAGAGCAAGACAGATGGCCTTAAACCAGGTGGTCCTTCCCACGTGCACGAGTCCCTTTGACTTAGTGAAGAAACAGCCTTGGTGATCTGTCGGGATGTGTTTGACCGTGTGAATCACACTGCTTGAGGCACGGACTTACATTCCGTGGGATGAAGCCCTGAAACGTGTGCTGAGAGCCTGCAGGTTGTCTGCACCGCGTCTCTGTGGGTGTCTGCTTTTAACGTGGGCTTGGACGCCACTGAGCAGGACGTCGATACCTTGTCGATTCATGCTAGCAGACATGGTATGCGTGAGCTCTTTCTTCAGTAACATTTTTAAGATTTTTCTAAGTAGAGAGCGCATTTTAGCCGAGACATTCCTATATCAGTAATCCCATTTTAGGATGCCATGATGTCATTATAACTGAATGAGCATGCAAACCTTTTGTTTACAGGAATCCTAGTAAATCTCATCTTCGCCACACCATTCCCACCACAGAGAGAGGAGCTGGGCTATTAGAAAGCCCTTCGATATTTAACTTCACTGCTGATCGGCTAATTAATGGTGTTCGAAGCCCACAGACACGGCAGACAGGTCAGCCTAGAACACGGATACAGAACCCTCCGACCTACACCAAGAGGGAGGTTGGGTCTGGCCGAGTGGAGCAGAGCAGCGCGGAGTCGCCTCCTGGCTTAGGGAGAGGGAGGTGAGTCCTTCGAGCTGCTGTCAGACAGCTATGACCTGCCTTTCCTAATAAGTTCTTAATATTTACAAGTTCCATCAATTTAGGCATGTTTTATAAATGTTATTTTCAAATACATCACAGGCAAGGGCTCTCAGCTCGTTAGGCCATCTTGGGCAAGACTGCTTGTAGGTTTTCTGGAAAGGAAAGGAATTAGTCAAAATTACTTCTTTGAACTCCTTTCCAGCTCACACAGACAGCACCAGTGTATTCAGTAGGAATAACAAAGGGATAAGTAAATAAAAACAAAATTATGGAATAGAATTAGCCTGTGGGCTGTCAGGCCACAGAAGCCTGTCCAGGGCATGAGAGTGGCGTGTGGCCTCAGGGCCTGCCAGGACTTGGCCACTCCATCGGTGTTTGTTGCTTCAGTGTGGGACACGGTGCCGGTCCCAGACCTCTAGAGCCCTGTGCACACAGCTGGGAGCTGGCTGTCACAGGGGCCTGGGGCTTGGAAACCTTAGTGCCGGCCGGTGGCAGCGGACGGGGGCTGATGTGGTCATGTCAGGGCTGGGAGGGAGGGAGAGCACGCCAGGCTGCTTTGGCGTCTTTCCACTGTGACGATTAACCCAGTCCGTTTTCATTAGCAGTGGTTAACAGTTCACCTGTAGAGCTCATTGTCTGGTTTTATGTGTCTTGTCATGGCAGCTGAATGGACATTCAGGTATCTCTGTAACAAAAATTCTAAATGTCCACTAGGAAAATTCTCTCAGTAAATGTTTTTCTTACTCTTCTGCTTTTTTAAAATCTTGACATCACTTTTAGTCTTTTACTACAAAATTTTTGTTTTGGTTATACTTCCTAAGGTTGGGGTTTTACAATAAAAAGTCAACTGTAACAGATTACAAAGTAAGAAGGACTATGTGTGCACATACATGTGCTCAGTGAAAAACCTTTCAAGTGGGAAAAAGCTCACAGTGTTTTGCTTTCCTCTTCTCTAGGAAGAATTCCTTTGGCTACCGGAAGAAACGGGAGGAGAAGCTGACAGTGAGTGCATCCAGCCCTTGACACTATTATAAAACTTTTAAACCTAATTTGTACTAAACAGACGTGCGGTTTAACTGCGTGGTTGAAGGTTAGGACGTGTGGAGCTTTTCTTTTACCGTGATGAGCGTCAGGTGGTGACCGACTCGGTGGCCTGAAGGGGACAAGCTGGCAGTGTGTCTCTAGACATGCTGCTGGCCCCCGCGGCTGCAGAGTGTCGCTCCCTGGTGTCTCCATGTGCACGCGCTGTGCGGCAGGCACGGCTGACCACCCAGTAGGCACGCAGGGCAGTCTGTGCACACGTGGAGATGCATTCTCTGTCTGGGTAACCGTGTGGTGCGAGTGAAAGTAACTGAACTTAACGGTTCTTGACAAGCAGAGTGAACTTCTGTGTGGGAATTAGTTCATTGGTATGTTTCGTTCGGAACATTTAACGTGTATCCCTACACAGAAAGCATTACTGCCGGGGCTCCTGGGGGACTCAGTGGGTTAAGTGTCTGCCTCCAGCTCAGGTCATGATTTCCAGGTCCTGGGATCGAGTCCTGTATCGGGCTCCCTGCTCGGTGGGGAGTCTGCTTCTCCCTCTCCTCCTGCTTTTGCCTCTTTCTGTCTCTTAAAAAAAGAGCAAGAAAGCAAGAAAGCATTACTGCCTTCTGTTGTAACTTACGTTCGGAATAAACGCAGAAATAAAGGGTGGCTCGTGTGGGTGCTGAGTACCTGGGGCACGGCCGCATTCGCTGGGGTTCTGTACGACTTGCTCCCGTGGCTGTGGCTTCTGCCCAGCTCTGGTGTGTGGGGGGAGCCGCTGTGTGTCCACACGTGGGAGGAAGGATACAGACATCAACACTTGGAGGACTGCAGAGACTGAGTGAATTCTTGGTCCGGCCCCCTGAGCCAGCGGGTATGTGCACTCCCATAGTAAAAGATCTGTTTTCTCTGCCTTGAACTCAGAAAGTACGAATCAGTAGTTAGTAAAACACCCAGAATTCTACCTTGTTGGTTAGTTTAGTCTGGTTTTGGTGAACCCTTTGGTATGGTCATTTTTATTGGCTGATTATAGTTGGAATTAATTCCTGTAACGTTTGGACTGGCAAGGCTAGCATCAGAGTAGGTCGTCAGTTAATAGTTACCTTAAATAAATTATTCTCCTTGGTTACTAAATTACATTTAGAGGTGACATTTCTTCCCATTGCCATCTCTGCTACATTTTGTGTTCCTGACTCCCAGTGGTCGGGCCACGTGGAAGGCCAGGCATGTGATGCAGGCGCGTTTCTTAAGGGGAGTGCATTTGTGGTTGCGTCGGGACAGTTTCTGGAACTTAGAAACGGGTAATAGTGTGTGCTCGCTTGGCCCAGCCAGGCTGTGGGACGAGGGCCACCGTTCGTACCTCACCTCAAGCCGTGCAAATCCTAAGAACTCTTGAACACTGCACTCAAGACAAGCCCTCACCGGTGGGCGCTGCTGCGTGGCAGTTCTGCGCCTCGGCCGTTGTCGCCTGCCCCTCTTGTTGCCCAGGCCTCGGGGTCTAGTCAACTTTTCTGAAGTTTGAATGCTTGGAAATGCGGTCTTCTGAAAACCTGGGTTCCCCTCAGAAAATGCAAATGTTGCAAGCCCCTGAGAAGTACTTTGAGACCACAGGTCTGGGTCTCACTCAGAGCCTTGCCGAGTCACCGAGGTTCCTGAAGCGTGGAGGGGCCGAGTGATCGTAAGTGCGGGCCTGCTTCTGAGGGCACGTCGCCCCCCGGAACGAGCTGAACTTCAGCTACCTGCACCGTGACAAAGGTGAGAAACAGGGACGCCGGAAAGACACGGTGCGGTTGATATTTTTAATTTCTTACCGCGTTGTATTGGTTTATTGTTAAAAATGTTCAGTTGCACTTAGTCGACCCAGTGTCGCTTCAGCGTGCGGCATGGTGATTCAGGACTGCCACGCGTCACCAGGGCTCGTCACAGCAGGTGCGCACCTTCCTCCCCGTCACCTGTGTCCCCCATCCCCGCCCCTCTCCCCTCTGGCGACCAGCAGTGAGTGTGTGCTCTACAGTGAAGAGTCTGTGCCTTGGTTTCTCTCTTCCCCTTGCTCATCTCCTCTTTCTTCAGTTCTGCATGTGTGTGAGACCATGTAGTACTTGCTATCTTTGACTTACTTCACTTAGCATAATACCCTCTAGTTCCATTCATGTCATTGCAAATGACAAGATTTTGTTCTTCTTGATGGCTGACTAATATTCCATTGTTACACACACACACACACACACACACACGAGTTTGGCTGTTGTAAATAGCGCTGCTGTAAACATTGGGGTGCATGCATCCCTTTGAATTAGTGTTTCTGTTTTCTTTGGGTAAATACCTAGTGTAATTGCTGGGTCAGAGGGTAGCTCTATTTTTATTTTTTTGAGGAATCTCCATACTGTTTCCCAGAGTGGCTGCACCAATTTGCGTTCCCACCAGCAGTACACGAGGTTCCCCTTTCTCCGCACCCTTGTCCACACCTTCATTTTCTGACTTGTTAATTTTAGCCATTCTGACCACTGTGACGTTTTATCTCATTGTGGTTTTGATTTGCATTTCCTTGATGATGGGTGATGTGGAGCATCTTTTCACGTGTCTGTTCACCATCTGGATATCTCTGGAGAAATGTCTGTTCCTGTCTTCTGCCTGTCTTTTAATAGGAGTATTAATTTGGGGGTGTTGAGTTGTAGAAGTTCTTATAATTTTGGACACTAACCCTTTATTAGTACCTCACTTGCATGTCACTTCTCCCATTCTGAAAGTTGCCCTGCTGTTGGGTTGACTGTGTTTCCTGCGCTGTGCAGAAAGTTTGTATCTTGATGAAGTCCCACGAGTTCATTTTTGCCTTTGTTTCCCTTGCCTCTGGAGACTTAACCAAGAAAGAAGTTGCTACTGCCACGGTCAGAGAAATTACTGCCTGTATTCTCCTTAGGATTTTTATGGTTTCAGGTGTCACATTGAGGTCTTTGAATTTATTTCTGTGTGTGGTAAGAAAATGGTCCAGTTTCAGTCTTCTGCATGTGGCTGTCCAATTTCCCCAGCACCATCTGTTGAAGAGACTGTCTTGTTTCCATTGGACATTCTTTCCTGTTTTGTCGACGATTAGTTGACCGTAGAGTTGAGGGTCCATTTCTGGGCTCTCTATTCTGTTCTGCTGATCTATGCGTCTGTTTCTGCGCCAGAACCACACTGTCTTTATGACCGCAGCTTGGTAATACAGCTTGAAGTCCGGAATTGTGAAGCTTCCAGCCTTTTTTTTTTTTCTTTTTCAAGATTGCTTTGCCTATTTGAGGTCTTGTGTGATTCCGTTCAAATTTTGGGATCATTTGTTCTAGCTCTGTGAAAAATGCTGTTGGTATTTTGGTATTCAACGTGCAGACTGCTTTAGGTCTTACAGACATTTTCACAACATCTGTTCTTTCAGTCCATGAACATGGAACGCCTTTCCGTTTCCTCATGTCGTCTTCGGTTTCTCTCATCAGTGTTTCACAGTTTGCAGAGTGTGCACGTCTTTCTCCTGTTTGGTCAGGCTTCTTCCCAGTACCTGTTTTTGGTGCAGTATTGAATGGGATTGATTCTTGCATTTCTCTTTGTGCTGCTTCAGGTTTGGTGTATAGGTAAACATCTATACATGGATTTTGTAACCTGTGACTTTACTGAATTTGTTTATCAGTTCTAACAGTTTTTTGGTGGATTCTTTGCAGTTTAAGGTGTGGGCCATTGTCTGAAAATAATGGACGTTTTGACTTCTTCCTTGCCGATTTGGATGACCTTCATTCCATCCTTCCTTAAGATTTGATTTAATTATGAGAGAGACAGAGACAGTGAGAGAGTGCAGGTGGCGTGGAGAAAGAGGGAGCCTGACGGGGGGCTCGACCCCAGGACCCTGGGATCATGACCGGAGCCGAAGGCAGACACTTAACCGACTGAGCCACTCAGGCACCCCTGGATTGGTGTCCCCAATCCAGTTCTCTCTGTTGTCTGACTGCTGAGGCCAGGACTTCCAGTGCTGTCATATGTAACAGTGGTGAGAGCAGACATCCTTCTTGTGTTGCTGACCGTACAGGAAAGGCTCTCGCTTCTTCCCCATTGAAGACGCTGTGGGTTTTTCGTAGATGGCCTTTATTATCTACCGAGGTATTTTCCCTCGTACCTACTTTATTGGGGGGTTTTTATCGTGATTGGATGTTGTGCTTTGTCTGCCTCTACGGAAATGATCATGTGGTTTTTTATTTGTAAGCATTTTATTTATTTGACAAAGAGACAGCGATAGAGGGAACACAAGCAGGGTCAGTGGGAAAGGGAGAAGCAGGCTTCCTGTGGAGCAGGGAGCCTGATGCGGGGCTTGATCCCAGGACCCTGGGATCATGACCTGAGCCGAAAGCAGAGGCCTAACCACTGAGCCACCCAGGCGCCCGCTCATAGGGTTTTTATCCTTTCTTTCATTAATGTGGTAAATCATGTTGATTGATTTGTGAATATTGAACCATGCTTGAAGACAGGAATAAATTCCACTTGATTGTAGTGAATGATTTTTTAATGTGTTGTTGGATTTTGTTTGCTAGTTTTTTATTGAGAATTTTTGCATCGATGTTCATCAGGGATAAATATGCCTGAACTTCTCTTTTTTTTAGTGGAGTCTTTATCTGATTTTAGAATTAGGATAATGCTGGTAGAATTCCCCCGGGAAGCCATTTGGCCCTGGACTTTTGTTTTTTTGGGAGTTTTTGGATTACTTATTCAATTTCTTTGCTGGTTATTTGTCTGTTTAAATTTTCTGCTTTTTCTTGTTTCAGTTTTGGTAGATTGTATGTTTCTAGGAACTTATCTATGTCTTCCAAGTTGCCCATTTTTTTGGCATGTAATTTTTTTATAATATCCTCTTATTATTGCTTGTATTTCTGTGGTGTTGGCTGTTATTTCTCCTCTCTCATTTGTGATTTTATTTATTTAGGGCCCTTTCTCTTTTCTTTTTGGTAAGTCTGGCCAGGGGTTTATCAGTTTTATTCGTTTTTTCAAAGAACCAGCTTCTGGTTTCATTGATCTGTTCTGTTGTTTTCTTTAGTTTCTGTATCACTTTTTTCTGCTCTAATCTTTATTATTTCCTTCCTTCTGTTGGTTTAGGCTTTGTTGTTCTTTTTCTACCTCTTTTATTTGTAAGATTGTTTATTTGAGATTTTTCTTGCTTCTTGACATAGGCCTGTGCTATATACGTTGCTCCTAGAACAGCTTGTGCTGCGTTCCAAAGGTTTTGGAGCTTTGTGTTTTCATTGTCATTTGTTTCCCTTTTTTTTTTTTTAATTTCTTATTTGATTTCCTGATTGACCCGTTCATTCATTGTTTAGTAGCCTGTTGTTTAACCTTCAAATATTTGTGGTCTTTCCAGATTTTTTCTTGTGGTTGACTTCAAGTTTCATAGCCTTATAGTCTGAAAAGATGCATGGTATGATCTCAGTCTTTTTTGTAGTTGTTGAGGCCTGCTTTGTGACCTAATATGTGGTCTGTTCTAGAGAATGTCCCGTGTGCACTTGAAAATAATGTGTATTCTGCTGTGTTAGAATGAAATGTTCTAAATATATCTGTTAAGTCCATCTGCTCCATTGTGTCATTCCAAGCCATTGTGTCCTTGTGGCTTTGCTGCTTATATGATCTGTCCATTGCTGTGAGTGGGGTGTGGAAGTCCCCTACTCTTATTTGGGTTATCACCAATATGTTTATGTTTGTTATGAATAGGTTTATGTATTTGGGTGCTCCCGTGTTGGGTGCATAAATACAATTTTTAGGTCTTTTTTGTTGGATTGTCCCCTTTTCTATGATCTAGTGCCCTTCCTGTCCTCTTGTTACAGTCTTTGGTTTATAATCTAGACTGTCTGTTGTAAGTCTTGCTACTCTGGTTTTCTTTGACAGCCTTGTACTTGGATAAATGGTTCTCCACCCCCTCACTTTCAATCTGGAGGTGTCTTTGGGTCGAAAATGAGTCATAGGCAGCACATAGATGGATCTTTTTTTTTTTTTTTTTAATCTGTTTTGAGGCTTTGTGTCTTTTGATTGGAGCATTTAGTCCATTTACGTACAGAGTGATTGTTGATAGATCTATATTTAGTGCCATTTTATTACTGATTTCATTGTTTCTGGAGATTTTCTCTGATCATTTTCTCTGATCATCAAAGGTCTTTGGTCTTTCTTTTCCCCTCAAAGATTTCTTGCAGGGCTGGTTTAGTGGTCATGAACTTCTTTAGGTTTTGTTGGTCTGGGAAACCCTTTGTCTCTCCTATTCTGAATGACAGCCTTGCTGGATCCACTGTTCTTGGATGCAGATTTTTCCCATTCAGCAGCACATTGACTATATGATGCCACTCCCTTGTGCTTTGCCAGGTTTCTGTTGCAGAATCTCCAGCTAACTTTATGGGTCTTCCTTTTTAAGTTAATGATTTGTGTTGGTGCTTTTAAGATGTTTTCTTTATCACTATTTTTTGCAAGTTTAATTTACAGTATGTCTTGGTGTTGGCCTGCTTTTATTGATTTTGATGGGAGTTCTTTTTTTTTCTTCTGGATCCCAGCATAGGGAAGTTTTCAGTTGTTACTTCCTCAAATAAACTTTCTGCCCCTCTTTCTTCTTCTGGGACTCCTGTTCATAAGAATGTTACTATGTTTGATAGGGTCACTGAGTTCCCTGAGTCTGTTCTTGTGTTCCTTATGTTCCATAATGCTTGCTTTCTTCTGTTCAACTTCATTACTTTCCATTACTTCATCCTCTAGGTCACTAATTTGTTCCTGTTTCCTCCAGCCTGCGGTTCATTGCATCAAGCCTGTTCCTATCTTATTTATTGTGCTCATCACCTCTGATCTATTGTTTTTTTGTGTGTTTTTGCTCTTTTATCTCTGGGGTAAGGGTCTCCCTGATGTCTTCTTTTCTCTAAGCTCAGTGGGCATCCTTACGATCATTACTTTAAGTTCTCTGTCAAGCATATTACTTACATCTTTTTTGCTTAGATCTCTGGCTGTGGTCTTACCTTATTCTGTGGTTTGGGATGAATTCCCCTAAGACACAGTGGGATTTTTTGTCAGCGTGGATCCCTTTTCATTCTTTAACCTGCGGTCTCTTGAGTTCTAACAGACTTTCTCCAGATTCTGCCCTTGTAGGGAATCATCTTCCTGTTGGTGTAAGTTGCCGGGCAGTGTTGGTCCTTTGAAGCTACCTGAGCCCCATGAAAGCCTTGTTTCCAGTCAGAGTAGCCTGCACCTCACCCAGATAACTGTTCCCCGCTGTCCCTTATCTTCTCCAAGGAACTAGATGCTCACAGTATGACTTTAACTTGTTAAAGCAACTTGCTCTGATAGTTTTTCAATAAAAATACATCCCTTGCTTCGGGATCTTGGGTTTATAAATTACTCTTGGATATGTTTGTGAAGAAAACTCAAGAAATCTGATAAAAATCTGTCATCAAATACCATGTTTTTACATAGTGATTTTAAAGTATAAAGTGTTTAAATAAATAAGGTTTCAGGTGACTGAAGTCCCTTCCCCCATTCTTAAACTATTTTTTTTAAAAGAATTTATTTATTTGACAGAGATCACAGGTACACAGAGAGGCAGGCAGAGAGGGTGGAGGGAAGCTGGATCCCCACCTAGCAGAGAGCCTGATGCGGGCCTCCATCCCAGGACCCTGGGATCATGACCTGAGCCGAAGGCAGAGGCTTTAACCCACTGAGCCACCCAGGCACCCCTTAAACTATTTTTTAAAAGATTTTATTTATTTATTTGAGAGAGTGAGAGAGCAAGCCAGCAGGAGAGGGGAGGAGGGGCAGAGGGAGAGGGAGAAGCAGACTCCCCACTGAGCAGAGGGCCAGATGGGGGAATTGATCCCAGGACCGTGGGATCGTGACCTGAGGTGAAGGCAGATGCTTGAGTGAGTGAGCCACCCAGGCCCCCTTTTAAAACTGTTTTTTAATGGAAATCTTTGTAAAGTTTCTTACATAAGTTTCAGAGCAGAGTGGCATTTTTTGTTTCTTTCTTTCACTGTCTCCTCTGTAAGTCAGGTGACAGGCTCTCCGGTAATAGCAGTCCTTGTCTGGAGATGCACACGGTCAGTGGCCATACTCGGGCTGCTGTGGTGTTCAGCCGGTGGGGTTGAATTTGCCTCCCTCACTAGTCCCTCCACTGTCCGTGTGCTGTGCTCTGCTCTGCCGCATGCTCGTGTGTCTGTGGCCGGCTGTGGGCCGGGAACTGGATGGTCTCGGCATCCCGGAGAGGTAGCTCTGCACAGCCGGCGGCAGCCTCAAATGACTAAGTGCCGTGGTGGGAGACCTCTGTTGTTCCCAGACGGGCGGAAGCCGGAACGCATCGCTCGCCGCGCTCTTGGGCCCCGGGGCGCAGTGCCGGACAGTCTGCACTCCTGCAGCATGACCGTGTTTTCTCTTTCAGAGGAGTCAAACTCAGTCTCCAACGCCACCAAAGCCCCCGTCCCCGAGCTTCGAATTAGGACTGTCCAACTTCCCTCCGTTGCCTGGGGCAGCAGGCCACCTGAAGACAGAGGACCTGTTTGAAAACCGGCTGTCTAGCTTGTTACTAGGGTCCTCGAAAGAAAGGGTAAGCTCCGGACCGCGGTGTCTGCCTGGTGCTGAGTCGGCGCCGGGTGCTCTGCCACACGCTTCCTACAGGCAGTGCTGGCGTGTGCGGGAGCTCCAGGGAAGGGGGTGAGCCAGAGGCTACGTGGGTGTGCAGTGGCCGGGTCAGACTGGAACCTGTGACTAGACCTCCTCTGTTCATCCCCTTACTGCCCACCAGGGTCAGGTGTAAACCGGTGTCACGTGCCATACAGATGCTCCCTGTCCCCACGAGGCTCAGATTGCGCTTCTGTTGTTATTCAGGACCTGCCTTTATTTTACAAGTCCACAAAATAAAACAGAAATCTGAGTTGCAACAGAAGTGGTAGACTTTTTAGTGACGCACGCCACAGCAAGGGGCCTGGAGACGTCCTTCTGTAATTCTGCTTGGCGGCTTTGGTCAGTTCTGCGACCACACTAGTTGCTCTCCCTCTTCTGTAAGCACCTGGTGAGCTATGTGAGCCAGAGACTGAGAGTCTGCGGTGCTCCTTCTGGCTTCAGCAGTCCCAAGGGACGGAGGGTCTGTGCAGCTGCTGGGAGTGATGCGCGGCGCCTGGGTGAGCTCTCGCCGGGGCAGAGGTGTGGGGCACCTAGCAGGTTGCCACAGTAACATGCATCCTTGTGTGAGATCTCTGCCTGGCTCAGTCACAGTCCCCTCCTGCGCCCTGATGGAAGGCCTCTGGATTGGGGCAGGCGCCGCCTCGCAGCTGCACCGGCCCGTGTAGACGTAGGGGGCCACACAGAAACCCTGCGCTACCAGCTCTGGTAACCAGAGGCTCGGGGTACCAGGGGCTCGGGGAGGGGTTCATCAAGCCCCGTGTCCAGTCCCCGTCATGCTGCCATGTGCTTACTGCTCTGGTCCTTAACCTTGGAGGGGGCGTGGACTCCAGGAGTCTGTGCTGACAGTACCCAGCACATGCTGCCCTTGGCATGTCTTGTGCGTTATTTTAAGTCTTGCACCTTCAGACCGTAGTCTCTAGGTTACAGCTGCCTTCTCCATCGATGTCCGAGTGCGAGCGCTGCAGGGACCTTGACTTGCAGCGTTCCCCCTGGCCTTAACTCCCCTTGGTGGCGGGAACGGGGAGACAACAGGCTGGCCTCCACCTGCTTCAAAAGCAGGAACTGCAGTGGTTTATACTTCGAGTCTCCGTGTAATTTTTTTTTTTTTTTTTTTTTTTTAAAAAGAAAGAAGGGCCACTTTAAACAGGTCTGAGCTGGATCCCACGGCCAGGGAGTCCCAGCTTCTCCCCGAAGCCCCTCCAGCAGCTTTTTCCGTTGCCTCGGCTCTTGGTGTGGGAGGCGGCTGGAAGGGGCTTGGCAGCTCGCCCCCAGGGGGAGCGGGTTGTGCACCAGCTGCCGTCTGCCCTGCAGCGTAGCGAAGCCCCTGGAGTCGATGAGCCTTTACAGAAAGGAGGCGTTTTCTGCTCCCGCAGCTGGACTTGTGAAGAGTCTGGTGCTTTGGTAGGGCCCGGTGCCGGGGGCAGAGGGCACAGACGGTGCCATCCCGCCCGCCTTGCTCCCTCCAGGTGTTCTCCGCTCAGTCCGCCTCTGAACCTTTGGTCTCCTTGGAAAGTAGAATTGGAAGACAGCGTTCTCTGTGCTTGTGCGGAGTTGCAGTGACACCGGCACGAGGCACGAGGAGCACCGCCCTGGTGCACTGCCTGGAGCAAGTGCCGCGGGTGCTGCTCACGGCTGTGTCTCACGGCCAAGGACAGGTTCATGTCCATGTTCCCAGCCTCTGTTTCCACAGCTGTGGAACTGGGGGTTCATACACCTGCTTCCGGGGTGGGAACTGTCCGTGCCTGCCCACCTTGAGGCACCCAAATTGATTTGTCTGTATTGAAGGGTCCATCTTTCGGGCTTTGGTTACAAGGAGCTGTGCGGAATTCGGTCGGGAGCTCCACGTGTAACAGAGACTTGAAGACTCCTCATGTGCCAGGCCGTGCTGGGCACTGGGGTGTCAGGAATAAGATGCCTTTGATACTTACTCCGTGCAGAAAACCAGCTTACGGGCGATGCGAGGGGAGCCCAGAGGGGAGCCCAAGTTGCGGAAGTGGTGAGGGGTCCGTGGGCCGTGGGGGGGCGCTCTGGACAGGCAGGGCTCTCTTTCCTCACGCTGCTAGTTGACAGTGTTTTCCAGCTGCCCCGCTTGTTCTAGGCCATGCTTTGACCCCGGTGCCCTCCACCGGCGGCAGGTGGGAAGGTTTGTCATTCAGACTGGGTCCTTTGTTCGTGTGTCTGATTCACGGGGACAGAAGTCTCAGGGCTGCGTCTCTACCCAAAGTAAACCGTCCTCCTCCTGGTTTTCAGAGCCTAAATGCGGATGCAGGCACGAGCACGCTTCCCGCGGTGACCCCCAGAGAGCCCTTGGTGCCCGCTCCCTGCGCCGCATCTGCAGCCTATGGGCGCTCCCCCTCCCCCGTCCGGCTGCCGGAGTAAGTACTGCCTTCTGCTGCCCTCGGCGCCGTCGGACTGCTCTCACCTGTCGCGGGTGAGCGTGAGAGTCACGCCTGTGGTGGCGTTTTACAGGGATCCCAAGATGGCGGAGAAGCAGAGAGAAGCCTCGAGTGTGGACAGACTTCCTTCCGCCCTAACTACGACGGCCAGTAAATCGGTGCAGGTGAACGGCGCTGCTACGGTACGTGTCCAGCCGCCCCAGCGGGGAGGGGCTCGGTGTTCCTTTTCTGTGTCCGCTGCTTCTCAGTGACCTGCGGCCTGCTGGGTTTTCACCTGTGTCGGTGCCGTGCTTTCTGCACGGAATACCTTGGGTACGGGTACGGCTGCCGACCCCCACCGAGGGCGCGGTTGTTGCTCGTTGCTGCCACCCTGGGGGCTGCTGCTTTCACTGTTGGTTGAGTGAGGTCGTCTTTCGAAGTGTCACGACTACAGCCCCATGTTTTCCGTCGATTCTCATCACTCGGGCAAGTCTCCTCCCAAGGGATGTCGAGAAGGAGCCGCGCCCCCCCCCCCCCCCGCCCACCTGTTCTCCCCGTCGGGCGGCTCCATGCTGGCCACAGGCCTCCCCTCCAGCTCCTCTGACTGCCTCCTCCCCCTTGGTGCGCCCGGCCTTTCTGTTCTGGTTTGGGGTACTTTTGCCATTAGATTTGGGAGGGAAACCCCAGCTATAAGGTCGCATCTCGGAAGGAGACGTTTATAGATTACAGTTGCTTTTAAGTGAGTGCGTGGCTTATGCAGGTGAGACCGTCTTCAGTTTCTTCTCTGTTACTTGGCTTTCAAGCTTCCACTTACCTGAAAAATTAACTTTTTAAAAAGTGTTTAACTCTGTCTTCACCTTTCCTGAATCCACACCACCAGCCTCTGGTTTGAATTGGGCACAAACATTATTTGAATCTCCTTGGTCCGCGATGGGCAGCATGGTTTTCGGGGCCTCCAGGAGGCCCATGCTGTGCAGAGTGACGGTGTTTGCAAGGACTTGTGGGCAGGGAAAGTAGATGCTGCTTCTGGCTCTTTCCAGGGGCACCTTTTCTCACACCTTTTAGGCTTCCGTGTGACTCGGGAGGGCACAGAGGTCGGCACTGTGTATCTCAGGACTGTTTCTGGTTTTACCCATTTTTATAAGATGTTCCTAGAGTGTCTCGGAGAGAACCATGTGCTGCAGGGGAAACCAAACCTGTTGAAATTCATGAACTTTTACAAGTGATAGCACTTCCGGGTGTGGAATTGAGCACCTGCTGAAAGCTTGGTTCACTAAGCAGAAGTGAACTTACTCTCGCACATGTGGAGGTGTCCTTCCGTGTACGTAACCCCAGTGTTGTGTCTGTTCCCAGGAACTGCGAAAACCCAGCTACGCGGAGATTTGTCAGAGGACGAGTAGAGAGCCTCCGTCTTCCCCGTTGCAGCCGCCGAAAGAACAGAAGCCCAACGCCGTCAGCTGCGGGAAGGAAGAAAAGAAGCTCGCCGAGAGAGAGCCCCCCACTCCCAAGTCCAACCCGGGACCACCCAAAGACCAGAGGAGGCCGCCAGGCCGCCGGCCCTCGCCCCCAGCCGCCGGGAAGCGTCCACACAGAGAACAGAGCACCCCTCCCAAGTCCCCTCAGTGAGCGCCGAGGTCTGGGAGGGCTTTGAGGAGCCAGGGTCGCCACAACTAAGCACTGCCCCCCTCGGGGCCGAGAATGAGCCGCTGGTTAGGGGCTTGCAGCGTAGACGAGGCCGGTGAGGTGCCTGCGAGTGGTTTTTCTTCCATGAGTCAGACCCCCTCTTGAAAAAAATCTATTTTTCAGGATTTAATTAATATAAACCTTATTTTAGGTTGGTGCTTAACTGGAGGTGATGCATAAGTCTGATTTTTTTCAGGATAGAAAATGCATTTATCCCAACAAATTGATATTTTTATTAAGCCTCCATGTGGCTGTGAATGCATGCTATATATAGTGAGTTTTTCTAAATTAAGCGGAACTATGCTACTTCTTTTTTTAAAATAACTGGTTAGCAAGTGCATTCCTCTGCGATGTCCAGACCAGTGCGCGGGCTGAGGACAGCTGGGATGGAGGTTGGAGGTGACATGGTCCGTGTGGCCTGGAGAAGAGATGGGGTCAGGTCGCGCCCTCGCTGGCACAGGAGTTGTGCTTCATTCAGAACCTTAGCAAGTGACGCTAGTGTTTTTGTTTTTGTTTTTGTTTTTTAAAAGAAGTATAGCCCGTTTTGGATCTACTGGGCGGGACGCACCCAAGAGAGCCCTGAAACCTTGAGTTTTGATGTGCTGCAAGCCAGTAACCAGCCGCTCACTCCTGGCTCGCACGGCTGTTGTGGCAGACAGAGTCAGAGCACATTGTGAATAGGACTGAAATGAAAACATAAACCTGGTTGCCACTGACGTGTCCCCGCGAAAATGTACCCTGACGTTGTCTTGCTCCTGGGAGCTGCGGGGAGGGCGTGGGTGCCACCGTGGCTCCCGCGTCTGCCCCACGTTAGCCGGCTCCGTGGGCGCCTTCCCGGACCTCCGCGGCGGCACACAGTGGAATGTTCCTTAAGTCGTGAGAGAGTGGTGTCTGCAGTGCCCTTGGTGGCGAGGCTCGCCGTTCCTCCGAGACGAGGGTCTCAGCGACCCCTCTGGAAGGGCTGCTCTGAACACCACGCATGCACTCACGCTAGCAGTTCATAATAAAGTTAAATATAAATTATTTTGTTTTAAAATGCCTAAATTTTTTCTTGAAGTATTCTAAGCAGCAGACATTAAAACATTTCCTGCTAAATGTAACCATACAGTTTATTCCACAAAAAGTTATTTAACAAGACTGAGGGTTCTTTTTAAAACATTATTTCCATCCAATATTTAAAGACTTGAATTTTATTTAAACTTGAAAATGACTTTGCCTTAACTTTTGTATAAGACAGCTTAGAGTTGGTGGAGACTGGCCCCTGGGTTGGCGCGAGTGGGTCACGAGCCGCTCGGTTTGGTGGGGCTGCCGCCGCGGGTGTCGCTGAGCGCACGCTCTGTAGCACAGGGCCTGGCAGTGGCGTCCGTAGTCGACCCGAAGATCTTCAACAGTTGACCTTTTTCAGATGGTTGGGAAATCCTGTAAATGCGGATGGTCAATGCTGTATTACATATGTGCACCTGGGAGTGTGTGCTTTGCTTGTACAGTTGTAAATAATCAGAACATATTAAAAAGGTACCCTACAGAGAAAAATCTGATAAAAATTATTGATATATTATAAATGTTGCTATTGAGCTGGATGTAGATAAACTAAATGTTGTGGTTTGAATATTATTTTAATTTGTTGAGGTGTTTTTCTTTTTCCCTGATGCTGGTGTGTTGGTCTGATTCTGCCTCTTTGCTGCTGCAGAAGGGAAATGGAAAGTCCTAGCAAAGCCTTCCGACGTTTTCATGCTCTTCTCACAAGTCTGTAAATATGTACTAATCATAGCTAATGTGAAAGCAGAATGTAGGAAGCAGAAACTGGCAGGAGCTTCAGGAGACCATAAAAGATAATCTGCTTAAAATCAGAACTAGCACGGTTCGCCCTGCCGGAGGGGCGCACGCCCCGGTGCGCAGGACCGTCTCCTCAGAGAAGCCGCCAGGACTCAAGTGTCCGGAGCACACCATGCTAGCGTAAGAGGAACGTGGGGGTTTCTTTTTTTGTAGGCGAGGGATTGCTGACTTAAGAAATCAGGAATTAATTGACCTCTGACGCCCCAACTCCTACGGGTGCTGTAAGGAGAGCTGGAAAGGCGAGGCCCAGGACGTCCTGCCTGCGGTGGTCTTTGCCGGCAGAGGGAGCGGACGCGGTCTGCCTCCGTCACCCCCGTCCGCAGACCCAGTGGAGCTGAGACTGCTAGCGCCAGCTGTAGCCGTCCCCCGTAGGCAGGGTGAAGGTGGCCAGTAGTGACAGCAACGGGGCCCGGGCAGGCCCGGGGGCAGCTGGTGCGCGGGAGCGGCGTGGCCTGGCGGTCCGGCCCCGCGCTGCTGCCCCGCGGCCCGCCGGTGGCATCCAGGCTTGCGGCTCGCCCTGCGGGGGTTTTATAGCGCCCTTTCGAGTGAAGCCAAGATGACCCGCCAAGTAGCTCCGTCTCCTGTGCGGACAGCAGCTCTCGGAGAGCACCGTGAGACCTTCCACTCACGGAAGGGGAGCCCGCGCCAGGAGGCTGGGGCCGCGGCTGGTAGGCGGTGGCTCTGGCGCAGCGGCCAGCAGGCGGAGTCTTTTGTCCGTTTGTAGACGCGGAAGTCTTTCCCGCAGCGCCTCAGGGCGGGGAGTCAGACGCAGCAGTCACAAATGACGCGCGGCCTGTGAAATCGTGTGAGGACACCTGCGATGTGGAAGTAGAGGGATGAGAATCTCGCCCCATTTCACCAGACATGAATTTCCGTAGAGTAGTTGCTTTTTAAGAGTTGGTGTCCCCATGTTCTGGTCTGGCCCGCCTGTCCCCGCATCACTGATTGTCACCAGCGGGCGGCAGTAGACGCTTCCGGTGGCTGAGTTCGCCAGGGTCACGCAGTTGACGTTCACAGGCCGGTTCCGCTTGTGACGAGCCGCGGGTGAGGAGGGTGCGTGTCTGCGCCTGCCGCCAGCGGGCCGCAGTCCTGGGCCCGTGCGCTTGGTGGCCTGTCCCCTGCAGCGCGGCAGACAATCCAAGCCGGAAGTGGGGCCAGCAGCCGCCAGGCCATGGAGCGGGACGTAATCCGGAAGCTTTCTGGAGGGCCTTTGTTTTTGTTCTACTTTTCATTAAGACTGGAATCAAGCTTACGTGTAAACTATCGATAATTTAAGTTTCCTTTTGTGTCATTCAGTGTAAAACTGTCTAATTTGGAAAAAAATGTAGGTTATGAAAAATAAAGATTTAGGCACTGTTCAGTTTTTCTTTTGATTTTTTTTTAATTAAAAATTCCTTCAAGAATACATCTTTTTAACAAATAATTCTCGTCTCTTCCCGTCAGTGTATGTGAGAATGGAATGTGGTTGCCTCCCAGCTGGTGTTGGACTGCCGCCGCTTCTCGCACACCCCGAGCGGGAGCGGCCGCGGCGTGAGGGGCCCCGGGCGGCGTGGCGGGCTGAGGCGTTCCGGGGAGCCCTGCGCGGGGTCCGGGTTTGGCCACGGAGTGGTCAAACAAAGACCCCGTGTTGGGGTCTTACATCGCTTGCGTGAAACGGCCCATCTCTTGTGCGGTGTTCCCACAGAGGCCCTTGGAGAGGGGCTCTCGTGGTGTTCGGGTCACACGGAGCCTCGGATACAAGGTAGCCGACTCTCCCCCGAACACTCGCGACGCCCGTGCCCAGGGCCGCGGGCGGGTGCTCGGCCCGGACGTGGCGGAGTTGGGGCGCGCACGGGTGGCTGCTTACATGGCGCTGGACTGCTCGCCCTCGTCCGAGCGGCTTCCTTTCCCTGTTTCCTCCGGCGGGGTTGTGTCTCGCACTGACGCGCTGTTCTGCTCTGTTCCGCGGCTGACGGTTAGTGTGTTACGGACACTGCCCTCGGCCCCCGCCGGCTGTCTTGTCGCACTTACAGTTTCTGATTATCACGGAGTAAAATGTGTCATTCTTCTCCTGTGGTCCTAGCGTCTTGGTCTTGTTTCTGAAGTATTTTCCTACTCTGTGGGCGTAAGATAACGTGTGCACGTGCGTGTGCGTCCGTTCAGTCCACCTGGGACCGCCGGCCTGTGCGTGCGCGTGTGGTCTGGGTCACGGCCGAATTCTGCTTGGGCCATACGGAGACTCGCTTTTCTCTGTGTCACTCGGTTCTTCTCCGTGATGTGTGTTGCCACCCTTGGTGCCTGCAGAGTCCCCACAGACGTGTGCGTGTTGTCTGGGTGCCCCGTTCTTTACTGTCCATAGCTCGGTCTCTGCCGACACCGTAGGCTTCCGCTCAGCTCTCGTCCCGCGTTACTAGGAGTTTCTTTCACGGAGCTCCCCGCAGCTGTCATTCAGTGTGCGCCACGAAGGCAGGGACTGAGCCCATCCCAGTCGCCTCTGTATCCCCTGTTCGGAGTACACTGTCTGCCGCGTGGTTGGGCTCAGTAAATGTCTGTCAAGCTGACGAGATACTGAGTACGTGTTCTTTTTAGCACAGCACGGGCCTAGAAAATCCGAAAACTGGGCTGATGCTTTGCTGTTTCCAGGCGACCGTCCAAAACTCAGTGGCTTGACGTGACAGTCACACGTCAGGATTGGCTGATGAAGGCTCGGTGTGGTGGCTCTGCTGACCCCGGCCCCACTTGTCACAGACGTGTGGGGAGACAGACGTGTGGGGAGACACACGCCTCACTACTGTGCGCTCCTCCTCTGGGCCCGCAGGCCAGCCGAAGCCCGTGTTCTGATGGCCACGGGAGGGTGCAGGAGCCGTACCGGGCGTGTCGGCGTCCCTCCCCCAAGAAGGTGGAACTGTGGCATTCCGCTCCGTGGTCCACCCACAGCTGTCACCGACATTGAAATCCTGGGTTTTTCTGAACCTTGGAACCGAAGCGGTGGTTGAAGCACCACCGGCAGACGGCCTCGCGCTGCAGGGTGCGACGGGCAGGGAGCCCCGTTGGAGCTCAGGGCGCAGACTGGCGTGTCTGGGATTCCCTTTGACGCTCTGTTCTGGCCACCCTGCGGAGGCGGGTGGGAGGTAAGGTGGGAAGTCAGAACGACGGGACTTGCAGCAGCACCTCCCCACTCGGGTCTGCGTGTCCGTGGAACCAGAAACACCACAGAGCGCTGCTAACACATCGGGTGCCCACCAGAAGCCCGGGCTTGTGCTCCCGTGCCGGGAGGCTGGATGGGCGGCGTGGCCTGCTCTGAGCTGCAGCGGGCAAGTGGGCCACCAGGCAAGGGGCTCCGCTGCACTGGCAGGGCCCAGGGTGGCATTACCGGAGGAGCCCACTGGGGGAGGAACGGCTCTCCGTGGCAGGCACTGGTGATGGCGTGTGCAAGCCACAAGGTGGCGCTGCAGCCATCAACGCGTGACCCCGGTGGGACAGCCAGTGCCTGGGTTCGCTCCAGCCCAGGCTGTCCTTTGAGCCGAGGTTGCCCCTTGTGTTGCTGAAACTCATGACCTGTTCAGGAATGGTTGTGGACCCATGGGCTCTGTCAGAACACACGTGTGTGCAAGGGCCCTCTGGAACACGGAGAAGCAAAGCAGGTGCGCTCCGGGGGCGGCCGGTGGTCCCGCAGACGGGACGCGTGCTCAGGACACTCACAGGGCCCGTACCAGAGGGCCCTTCTGAACGGCTGCGGTGGCGAGGCCCCGACGACTGTGGTCGCACGAGTCTGGGATCTATGGAAGGAAGGAAGAGCTGGCCGTGCCTGGCCTGGCCCCCATGGCCTGCGAGGCGTTCGGCACAGAAAGGTTGGCCGGCGGTGTCTGAATGTGGGAATAGGTGGGAGAGGTGGGAACAGGCAGGTGGCCGCCTGTCAGGGCCGAAACCCCACCCAGTCTGCACCCAGCCCTCAGAATCAGCCCTTTTGTTGTCGTGACCCGGGAGCGGTCCCTGCTGCCACAGCAGGGCCGGGAGTGCCAGAGGTGAGAGCCGGCCCCGGGCCTTGCTGCAGGGGGCCAGCTCGGCTCCCAGCCACGTCCGGCTCCCACGGACCCCGGGCAGCCTCCCCGCAGAGGCCGTGTGCCAGCGGGTCGCTGTCCGACCTGGGGACAGGGCTCGCTTGTGGCTGGGGCCTGGCCCGATGCCCCTGAAAACCACACCGGCAGACTCTGCCTGTTGGGACCAGCTTCCGAACTAACCTGAGCCCAATGAGCAAAGGCAAACAGGTTTCTTCCTGCTGCCTCTCCTGCCGTGAGCTTGGGATTCAGGGCGGGGGGTGGGGTAGGGACACGGGAGGGTCGCCCTGCACGCCAGCCACTGTGGAGGACAGTCAGAGGTACGTGTGGTGGGCAGGTCGAGTGCCCTGGGGAAGAAGCGGCAGCCCCACAGGAGCCCTGGGCTAGTGCAGGCCTGGGGGCAAGCCTGGGGGCAAGCCGGGGCTGTCGTCCTTGAGAGTCTCCTTCCTTCCGCTGGCTCTGGGTTTCTTTTGCTCTTCTCTCCCTAGTTTCTCAGGAGCTTAAGATGACAGATTTATGATCCTTTCTGAGGTCAGTGTTCCATGCTATACATTTCCCTTGAATCCCAGTTCTTTGTTTTATTTTTATTTATTTATTTTTTTGAGGTTTCTTCTTTGACCCATGGATTTTGTAGAAGGTGGTGTTTCACTTCACGCTGTTGGGAGGTTTTCCTCTTGTCTTCGTGTTACCGGTGCCTAGTTTGGTGCCGCCGTGCTCAGGCAGGTCGCCGTATGACCGCTGTCCCCTCCGATGCGTCAGGCTGGGCTTGGTGGCGCGCTGTGTGGCGCTCTGGACCTGCACTCTGTGGGGCGGCCCCCGGTCCCCGCTGTGGCGCGCGCACTCCGCCGGCCAGTGAGCATTTGCGGGGTGTTGGGGAGCTCGGCTGTGGGAACCTGTGCCCGTACCGTCTCCCTCCCCATCCCCTCGCTCTGAGGTGTCCCCTTACTGGGCGTCATTGCTCCCCTTCCCACCTGAGCCCTCTCCGGCCCTCTGTCTCCACTCATGGCCTTGTGTGTGTGCACCGAGGAACCGTCCCTGCACCGCGCGGTGTGTCTTCCACGAGCTGCTCTGTCTCGTCCTGTCCTCCCTTCCCGGATGGTGCTGGGCGCCATCTGCCAAGTCCTCACACCCCAGGTCTCCTGGGGGTGAAACACACGAGTCAGCTGCCTGTCAGAGCCGCCAGGAATTTCTCACCTCACTGGGTGGACTCGGGAGCCAACTCCATCCTTGAGCAGCACTGGTCAGACCTGCGGGTCCACCCTGGGGTGGTGGGAGGGCGCCTGCGAGGGGTGGCCCGGACACACGGGGACACTCCTCGGGAAACGCCGCTGCTGACACCGTGCATCCCGACCCCTCAGGCCCCACGGTCCCTGAGCCCTCCCTGAACCTGCCGGCTCACTGCCACCGTGCACCTGTGCCGGGCAGCTGACCTCCACGTAGCGCCCCGGGCGGCCCACGGCCTCGCAAGCCTCTAACGGCTGCTCTGACCGGCCATCCACCCCAGCGCGCACGCCTGCCGCCACCCATGGGAGTGCATGTGACCTCCGGGCCTAATGACCTTGAGGCCCAGCGGCCATCTGACAGGACGTGGCCATGTGTGGCTGGCCCCCAGTGGAGTGCACGCCCCTACTGGGGCATGCACTGATTTGGGGGGTCTGTTTCGTGTAATGCCGTTGGCCTGGTGCCTGGAAGTGTTCGAAGTGTTGGGTAGGGCGGTCCGAGTGGAGCCGTGTGTGAAGGGCGTCCAGGCTGCCTCGGGGGAAAGAAGTGGTGGGTGGGGGTTGAGACGGAGTGTGGCCGGGAGAGGCTGGAGGACCACGGCCTGAGCCCTGGGGGTGCAGGGGTGGAGCATGGGGCAGCTCTGGAGTTGCGTTTGCACACTTGAATTTTATGAGGCCACAGCGGTCGGGGAGTCCGGGCACCAGCGGAGCTGGAGCACAGAGGAAGGAGGCGACACGGGCCAGCACATGGGGACAAGCGCCCTGCGGGCAAGCAAGCCCCCCGGAGCTCCCTGCATGACCACCGCTGCTCCAGGAGGGGCCCAGCTGCAGTGTGGGCTGGGGACGCTGGGGCAGGGGTGCCCGCCTCCTCCAGGAGGTCACCAGGCTGACGGGCGTGCCAAGCATCTCGAGGGCAGAAGGGCTAGTGGGCTGAGGTGGGCCATGCTTCCCACGCAGACAGGGGAGCTGCAGGGATCCCCTCTTCTGCCCTCGTGGGCCCCTCCTTGACCACCTGTGGGCAGCAGTCTTGGTTTCCCTGGCTTTCTGTCCCAGTTTGCAGAAGGGACACCTTCAGGGCCAGTCGCCCTGACCACAAGCCC